GCCACCCCAGCTGATGTCTTACTAGGTGTACCCTCCAAGTCCACTGGCTCCAAGCACAGCACAGGACCAGGACTTGTCCAGGAATTGCAGTCCTTGTGGCCTAAACTTCCTTTCGAGTTTACTTAGAAACCCAGAGCACTTTAGTCTGCAGTGGTGAGGCTTGCTGGAACTCAGGTTCTGACCACTGGGATGAGTGATTCTCCTCTGTCTAGGGCTAGTGTAAATGCTCCTTCCATGGGTACTAGCTGGGTTCTGCCTGGTATTGCTTTCTGCTGTGACAGGGTAGCACTGACTTTCAATGCAAAGTCCCACAATTGCTGCACTCTCCCTCTCCCAAGTGCACAGGTTCTTTCTCCATGCAACACGGCTGCTGCCAGAGGATGGGGAAAGGGTGGTGTAGATGATTCAAGACTGTCTTTCCTACCCTCTTCAGTGCCTCTTTCTGTGATATGAAATTAAAACCAGGTACTGTGGGCTGGGCACGGTGGCTCATGCCTGTAATCCCAGCACTTTGGGAGGCCGAGGTGGGCAGATCATGAGATCAGAAGATCAAGACCATCTTGGCTAACACAGTGAAACCCCATCTCTACTAAAAATACAAAAAAATTAGCCAGGCATGGTGGCAGGCACCTGTAGTCCCAGCTGCTCGGGAGGCTGAGGCAGGAGAATGGCGTGAACCCAGGAGGCGGAGTTTGCAGGGAACCGAGATCAGGCCACTGCACTCCAGCCTGGGCGACAGTGCGAGACTCGGTCTCAAAAAAATAATAAAATAAAATAAAATAAAATAATGAATAAAACCAGGTACTGTGACCACTCACCTGATTTTTGGTTCTCATAAAGGTGCTTTTTGTGCGTGGACAGCTGTTCAATTTGGTGTTCTTACAGGGAGGATGATCACTGAAGGTTTCTATTTGGTCATCTTGCTCTGTCTCCTGTTTTTACCAATACTGCTTATCTCATATTAATTTGTCCATTCGGGCTGGCCATGGTGGCTCATTCCTATAATCCTAGCACTTTGGGAGACCAAGGTGGGGTCGGCAGGGATCACCTGAGGTCAACAGTTCATGACCAGGCTGGCCAACATGGTGAAACCCTGTCTCTACTAAAACTACAAAAATTAGCTGGGCATGGTGGCGGGGGCCTGTCCTCCCAGCTACTCAGGAGGCTAAGGCAGGAGAATCACTTGAACTCAGGAGGTGGAGGATGCAGGGAGACGAGATTGTGCCACTGCACTCCAGCCTGGGGGACAGAGCAAGACCCTATCTCGAAAAGAAAAAAAAAAAATTGTCCACTTATCTGCTCCCTGCAACCAGGCTAGGGGCATGTGGTGAGCAGGGACAGAGCCTGACTATCCATTGCACAATGGCTGAACATAGGAGGAGCTGATCAAATACCAGTTGAAGAGAGGTTGTTCACATTCCAAAGGCAGGCAAGAGAGCGAACCCTCTTCCATTACCTGCCCCTTCAAGCTGGAAGGTGTACATGGAGAACAGGTTATGGGTAAGGGTGTGGAGACAACATGCTGGCTGTGTTCCTTGGGCAGTAAGGACCCTGAGCTTGGCGAGGAGTAACAGAATATAAGCAGGAGAGGAAAGTGAAAGTCCATCACGGAGAATGAAAATCAGGAAGAAAAATGTGGATTCTACATGGTGGGAAACAACACAGAACCAAGAGGCCTCCTCTAAGCTACCAGCTGGATCTTAATTGCATGATCCCCTCCAGTTGACAGAATGTTCCAGCCAGGAGGCATGCATACCCACATTCTGGCTCCAGGAAACATCTACCTAATCATGAGGTAATCCTTCTGAGTTTCAGCTACTCATCACTTCCTGAAGTTGCCCAGGTGGGCCTAGGCCAAGGGACCCATGGGTGGAAGAATCAGAAAGCTCAAGTCCTCACAACTCTAAGGATACCTGGCTATGGTGGGGACTAGCAGCATCCTCACCTCACATGCATCCAGGGAGAACCCAGACCGTTTCCAGGTCATGGAAAATGTCCAGGTTAGGCACAGAGCCTTACCAGCCCTCGCCAGCAGTTCTACCTAGCAACCAACTCAGCTCTCTGCTGGGCAATTTATGAACAGAACTGTACTCACGGGGTTTGTTTTCCTAGTCTATGGGGCCCAAAACACTGTAACAAAAGTTCTCTTTCCTTTTTCCTCTATTCTGAGAAGGGGAATAACAATAACAGCTACTATTACAGAGCACCTATTCCATATTTGGCACTTAATGCTTCTTCTCTCTAACACTTACAACTCTGCCAGGTAGATATTATTATTTGCACTGAAGTTGAAAAGCTGAGGTTCAGGTGTATCATGGTATATGATAACCCAGTCTGGCTAACTCCAAGCCTAGCTAACTCTCCCCACCACAGTGAGCTGCCATAAAGGCAAGCCAAACATCACGAACCTGCTGCGGTCATTGGTGCCTGCTGGGCTCCAGCCACTCCTCCTACCAGACCCATTCGCGAAAAGACAAAGGAGCCCATTTTGAAGCTGGTCTCCTGGAGCCAGCAAAGACACAAGAAAACAACAAGTCAATTGTCCATAGCAGTACCAGGAAGGCCACACAGGTGCAATCAAGGAAGACCATTTCCTGCTATTACCACCCTGAGGTCCAAAGGCCTGCCCAGGCCTTACCATCCTCGGTGACCCCAATTTTTACCCGTGACGCCTCAGTAAAACTCTGGAAGATTTCTGTTGGAGGTATTAAAAAATACTGTGACAGCCAGGAGCAGTGGCTTATGCTGATAGTCCCAACACTTTGGGAGGCTGAGGTGGGCAGATTGCTTGAGCCTAGGAGTTCCAGACGAGCCTGTGCAAAATGGCGAAAACCCATTTCTACGAAAAATACAAAATTTAGCTGGCCATAGTGGCGTGTTCCTGTAGTCCCAGCAACTTGTGAGGCTGAGGTGGGAGGATCACCTGAGCCTGGGAGGTCAAGTCTGCAGTGAGCTGAGATCGCACCACTGCACTCCAGCTGGGCGACAGAGTGAGATCCTGTCTCCCCGCCACCAAAAAAAAAAAAAAAAAACTGTGACAATCATGGCCAGATGCAGTGGCTCATGCCTGTAATCCCAACACTTCTGAGAGGCTGAGGTGGGTGGACCACTTGAGCCCAGGAGCTCAGGACCAGCCTAGGCAACATGGCAAGACCCTGCCTCTACAAAAAATACAAAAATTAGCCAGGTATGGTGGTACATGCCTTTAGTCCCAGCTATTCAGGAGGCTAAGGCAGGCGCATAGATTGAGCCCAGGAAGTCGAGGCTGCAGTGAGCTGTGATCACGCCACTGTGCTCCAGCTGGGTGACAGAGCAAGACTGCCTCTATTTTAAAAAAAAAAAAGTGACAATCAGCATAAGGGGGACCATGCTAAGGGGACTCATAGAAGGTCACCCCATCAGGCAGAGTAGAGTAAGAGCGGGGTAGGGACTCATATAGGAACTGAGCCCATGCCCTGGCATAGCCACTGTGAGACAATGGACATGCCAGACCCTCTCTGGGCCAGAGGCACAAGCCAGAACTTGGGTGTCATCCAGAACTCTGTCCCCTCCTTCATCTCTACCTCTAATTAGGCACCTAATCAATCCTCAGATTGACCTCTGCAAAAGATTTTGACTCTGTCCCCTCCTCACATCTTACCTAGATTATTGCATTAGCCTCTTAGCTGAGCCCCAGCCTCCAGGCTGTCTCCAGTCTGTCTGTTCTCCCAGCCAGAGGGATCGTTCTGAAACATGTCCATGCTCACCTCACTTCTCTGCTCACTGGAACCCTTATCTCTCAGGGTAAAGTGCAAGCTCCTTGGCTTAGCTCCCAGATTCTTGTGTCTGCCTCCTGCACTCTTCCCGGCTTCTTTCCCAGACACTCAGCACACACTTCCTGTGCCTGTACTTCCCTGAATGCACTGCACTGTTTTGTGACCATGTATTCTGTTGGCCTTTCTTCCTTAGAAGGCCCTTCCCTTCTTCTAATTCCTGCCAATCCTTCAGAACTCAAGTAAATAGCACTTCTTCCAGGGAGTCCTCTCTGATACCCTGGTTGGACTTAGATGTCCCCTCCTTTAGCCTCCCCACCCACTCTGGGCTTCCTTCTAGCATAGTACTTAGAGTTGCTGGTTTTTCTATCTCTTACACCAAGGTCCCTGGAAAAGAGGAAGTAATCTCAGACAGGGCCTCAGTGAATTTTGTATCTGCAGCAATACCCAGGCACCCAGCACCATGCTTGAAAGACCACAGGGATTTCTGGATAGAAAAATGAAGGGATCTCCCCAGCAAACAGGTCATAGAATTGATCACAAGTTAGAGGACATTTACACATAAGTATCTATATAGGCTCATCAGTCTATGCAACTGAGCTCAGTTACTAAGGGAACTGTCCTTCTACTTTGACCACATTCTTGCTTTATAAAGTCCTATGCGGTCACAGTGAACTTTCTCAATCCTGAATACCAGTTACCACAAAAGATCAGTGATCCCTAGAAGCAGTTTTATGGCCACAGTTTGGAGCAGAGTCGGGGTGGTGAGTGGGGGAGGGCAGCCAGCCCTGGGCTCCGGGATTTACAAGCTCTGGTCAAGGGATGATGGAGGCTGCACTGTGAAAGGGTCTGGTGAGTCAGCCAACTTCAGCAATCCTCCAAACACTTCTAGTTCTTTGTTATCAAAAAGTTCAGTCTTGTGAAAGGTGTTTGGTTTTAAGTTTCCTGTCACTGGTCTACTTATTTAGAAAGTGTTACACCGCCTTCTGAAATAAATAAGGTGCCTGAAGTCTGATTTAAGGAGCTTCTTGCAGTCAGCTCCTGTGTGCAGAAAACCTGTTATGAGAAATGAAACTGAGAAGGTGGACATTTCTGTAGCATCATCTCTTTCCCAGGAGCTCAGGGTTTTTCACTGTAAGATGAGAAAGGAGCGCTGGTGGGCACTGGGCCCATCCTGGGAAAGACACCAGGAGGGACTAAGCCTCTTCTTCGTAAACTTGATTCTTTTCTCTTTCTCCCCTTACTGACCTTGAGATCAAAGTGAGCAATTTTCTTTGTGTGAAGGTAGTTCACCCCATCCAGGATCTGCTTAATGAAGCTGGTGGCCTCCTCCTCACTCAGTGACTCCTTCTGGGCCAGGAAATCGAAGAGCTCTCCTCCAGACACTCTGTAAAACACCAGCGGGGGGAGGGGAGGCCCAGGCCCAGTCAGCTCTGCATGTCATGAGGCTGGGCTGATGGATGCAAGCCCTGATCCTGATCCCCCCGGGACCTCGTATGGCAGAATCCCCCTTGCTTATGTCTGGGGCTTTGTCTGTCTGACCAGTGCCAGGGACTGACTTTGCTTCTGTTTGCTTTGTTTTCTTTTGGATCACAAGGGCAGGAATCACTCTGGAGATGTTGTCAGAAGGGCCTCTGCTCCCACTCTAGGCCCTGGTCCCAGTCACCCTGAAGGTTGCCCTCTCCCCCCAATATGCCTGAGATGGCAGGGGACAAAAACAAGCAGATTCTTTAGCCGGAATGTTTGTGTTCCTCCAAATTCATATTTTGAAATTCCAACCCCGAAGGTGATGGTATTAGGAGATAGGGCCTTTGGGAAGTAATTCAGTCATGAAGTCAGAGCCCTCACAAATGAGATTAGTGCCCTTATAAAAGAGACCCCAGAGGGTTCACTTTCCCCTTGCACTATGTGAAGTTACAGTCAAAAGACAGCCATCTATGAGGAAGTGAACCTTCATCTTGATCTTAGACTTCCCAGATTCCAGGACTGTGAGAAATAAATTTATGTTGTTTGTCAGCCACCCAGTTTATGGTTATTGTGTTATACAGCAGCCTGAATGAACTGAGAGAGGAAATTGGTACCAAGTATGGAGTGCTACTGTAACAGATACCTAAAAATGTGGAAGCTGTTTTGGAATCAGCTAACAAGTAGAGGCTGGAAGAGGTTGGGGGTGCCAACTAGAAAAAGCCTACATTGCCACGAAGGAATGGACTGTAAGGGTGGTTCTGGTGAGGGATCACAAAGAGAGGAGCTTCTCAATGTTCTTAGAGAATACCTAAGTGGTCATCAACAAAATATTTGTGGAAATACAGATGGAAAGGCCATTCTGATAATGTCTCAGATGGATATGAGGAACATGTTACTGGTCTGGTCAATGAGGGAAAGCACATCCTTCTTATAAAGTAGCAGAGAACATGGCTGAATTGTGTGTGTGCCCTAGTGTTTTGTAGAAGGTAGAACTTGTAAGCAATAAAAATGGAATATTTGGCTGAGGAAATTTCTAAGCAAAGTGTTGGAAGAGTGTCCTGGTTCCTCTTGACTACTTATAGTAAAATGTGAAAAAAAAAGGGTTTAAAGACAAAATTATTACTCAAAGGGAAGAAAGCTTAAAAGTATGAAAAATTCTGTCTCCTCATATTGGAAAAACTAAGAAACCCTGTTTGGGAAAGAACAAAGGTGTGACCAAGCAACCATTTGATAAAAAGATTAATATGACTCTCAGGGAAGCCAGGTGCTATTCATCAAGACAATAGGGGGATTAGTCAGCCATCTAAATAGAAGCCAGGACCTATTGTTCAAGACAATGGAAGAATGACCCTGAAGTCATTTCAGAGATCATGGGGGTGAAAAGAGGGGTGTCCCTCCCATCACAGGTTCATAGTGCCAGAGCCTAGAGGCAGAATGATATCAAAGGAGGAGCCTCCACTGCCCAGTGCTGCCTCACATTGTGGGCTTTGTTCTCCAAACTCTGTTGCCACACTCCTCAGACATACCAGGTGTGGCTCCTGGAGGGCAACAGTGTGGCATACTCTGTGCCAAGCAAAGCTGGTGGATGTGTGGCTGCCTTCTCCTGGATTTCAAAAGATGCCTTAAGGGAGCTGGTGGGCCCCTGGGCAGAGGACTGCCTTTCGGGTGGGGGTCAATGCTTGGAGAGCAAAGCCTTATGGGTAGGGTTGCCCAAAGCTGCAGGGGCAAGACCTCCATTCCACTCCTGTGGGCCTGAAGGGCAGAGCATTGAGCCAAAGATTATTCTCAATGTTTTGTACTGGCTCAGAGCCTGTCATTCCTTTATTCTTTCCCATTCCTCCTTCTAGAATGGGAATGTGTATCCTCTGCCTGTCCCACCATCATATTTTGTACACGACATGTTTGATGTCATTGGTTCACAGCTGGAGAGCAGCTTGCCTCAGAATGAATCACACCTTGAGTCTCACCCACATCTGATTTAGATATTTAGATGAGACTTTGGACTTTAAACTTTGGAGTTGATGCTGGAATTAAGACTTTTGGAACTGTTGGAATGGAAGGAATATATTTTACATTTGAGAACGACATTAATTGGGGTGGGGGGCAGAGACAGAATGCCAGAGTCTGAATGAACTAAGGCAGATGACAAAGAGGAACAAATGCTGTGCCAGAAACTAAAGACCTAGGTTCCATTCCAGCCTTGCCACTGACCTTAGACAACTCATTTCCCTTCTCCAGGCAGGACCTGGTTTCATTACATACAAAAAAAGCAGATTGGGCAAGACAGCTCCCAAAGCCCCCTTTCTTTAATTTTATAAAAGATGGCCCCTTTATGGGGTTCAAGAGAATCGAAGTATGGCCCCTAACTTAAGCAGAAGACCCCATTAATTATATTAATCTCTAAAGACTCTAGAATACTACTTTTGATGCTTGATACTACTTTTTCACACTCTACATTCTTGCATCCTATAGTTGATGTGACAGAGCAAAAAAAATCTCCCCTGAGATTTCGGATTGCCAGATAAAATAGGTTTTTACTTGCTAAATCTGGTAACCCTACTTGGGCTTGTTTATTCTGCCAACAAAAAGAGTCAAACTCTGTAAAATATTTAAAGATGTTTATTCTGAGCCAAATATGAGTGCCCAAGACCCGTGACACAGTCCCAGAAGGTCCTCAGAACATGTACCCAAGGTAGTTGGGTAACAGCTTGATTTTATACATTTTAGGGGGACAGAAGTTACAGGCTGAATCAATCAATAAATGTAAGGTGTACATTAGTTCCGTCTGGAAAAGTGGAAAAACTTGAAGGTGAGGATAGGGAGTTGGGAGGGCTTCTAGGTCACAGGTGGATTTTATGATTGGCAATTGGTTATTATCAAAAGAATCAATAGAAAAGAGTGTCTGAGTTAAGACAAGGGTTATGGAGACCAAAGTTTTCATTATGTAGATGAAGTCTCACAGGTGGCTGCCCTTGGAGGCAATAGATGGCAAATGTTTACTATTCACATTCTTAAAAGGTGCTAGACTCTCAGCTAATCTCTTCAGGATCAGAAAAAGACAAGGAAAGGAACAGAGATTCTCCAGAGAATATAGATTTTTCCCAGAAGAGTCAGCTTTGCAGGGCCACTTCAAAATATGTCAAAAGATTTATTAGAGTAAAATACTTCTATTTATTTCAGGGCCTGCTATTTGTCATGTGATGTTATAGTACAGTCAGGCTGGAATTTGTTATCTTATTGCTGCAAAGAGTCTGTTTTGTTAGTCTTAAGTTCACTGTTTTTATATTAATGTTGGTCACTTGTGCCCGAATTTCAATGGGCGGAGAGTATAATGAGGCATGTCCAACCCCTCTTCCCATCATGGCCTGAAAGTTTTTCAGGTTTACTTTGGAATCCTGTTGGCTGAGAGAGGGGTCTATTCAGCTGGGGGGCTTAGAATTTAATTTTTGGTTTACAATCCTCTGACAGAAGCTGGGGTATCCAGCCAGCATGTGCTCCGCTGGGGCTGAAATAAAGTCAAGGGCCCGAAGGGAAAGATCTCAGGAAGGGTTCTAGGCCAAGGAATCCAGGACCTTTGGATCACTTAGAGAACTTGTTTTAAAATGCAGATTTCCAGATCCCACCATAGACTTTAACAAATTAGATCCTCCAGCAGTGAGGCCTTAAAACCTGTATTTTTACTATGACAACATAATAATAGTAATTAATATTCATTGAACACGTACTCTATGTTACATGCCTTATGCACATTATCTCATTTCATCATCACAATGTCCTATGATCTAAGGACTATCACTTTTCTATTTCACACTTAAATAAACAAAGGCTCAGAGAGGTTAAGCAACTTGCCTACAGTCCCATAGCTAGTAAATAGAGTCAGGATTCAAACCCAGGCAGAACAGCTGTCAACCACTACAGCATACTGAGTATTGCAGATTATTCTTTTCTTTTTCTTTT